CGGCCTCTGTTTAACAACCTCGAAAGAAGGACACTCCGCCATACACCCTTGGAGAGTGGTGGAGGAGTCTCCTTCTTTGGAGGTTTTTAAACAGAGGCTGGATGGATGCTTTGATTGTGAGTTCCTGCATGGCAGAAGGGGGGGGTTGGACTGGATGGCCCTTGGGGTCTCTTCCAACTCTAGGATTCTATGATTCTACCTGAGATTATCCCTACCTATCTAGCTAAACGGTCCCTTGCCTGTGGGTGGATGGGGAGATTTTGTACCTTAGGGATGGGGAAGCCCAGCACAGAGATGTCCTTTGAGCATGTCCTCAAGGGTCCAACGCCCGTCGTGTTGCTGAAGCGCAGGATTTCGTGGAGCACAGCATTGGTGTACGGCAGTTTGATCCGGTCCTCATAAGTGATGGTGTGAGAAGGCCCCAGAACAGCATTGATTTCCTTGTAGCTCTTTTCTACAGACAGATTTAATTAATTTAATTAATTTATAGAAGCCGAAATCTTCTTCTTCTTTTTCTTTCCCACACCAGTGCCCTTTATTTACTTATTTAAAAAAAATCTCTTGTAACATATGTTTGCCTTATTTATACCCATATCCTGGATCATGGGTGGGTATCACACAGATGTTGTTGGACTGCGACTCCCAGCAGCCTGAGCAAGCAAAGCTGATGGTGGGAGCCCCAACACTATCTGGGAGGCTGCATGATTCCCATCTCTGGCTGCTGCCACACTGCAGAATTAATGCAGTTTGATAAGAGCCAGAGTGATGACTGGTGTCAAACTGCATTAATTCTGTAGTGCAGATGCAGCCTTAGTCCTAGGGCCCTTTCAGAACACTGAACCATAGCATTTTGATATCGCTTTATCTGCAGTGGCTCCACTTTATGGATTTCTGGGATTTGGAGGCATTTAGAATTCTCTTCCAGAGAGCTCTAGGTTCTCCTCAAACTACATATCCCAGGAACTGCAGGCCATGGCAGTTCAAGTGGAATCAAAGTGCTCTAATTCTGTAATGTGAACGGGCCCCTAGACAGCATGTGGAAACGGGATCATACTATTCATATGTTCTTAATTCTCACTGCTGTATAGAAGAAATAGAAATAGTCAAAGAATTTCCATACCTGGAATCAAACATTGGAGTTTATCACAATAGGGAAATCCCGTGCGGAAACAGGGCTTTAAATTAAACAAAACTTGCAAAAGCGGGTGTTTTTTTCAGACGACGTCGCTGTTAAAAGGGGGTTAATCCGAACGGAAATTAGACAAAAACTGCTTCTTTTTACTTTCAGAAGATCCCGAAAGTAAAAAGAAGCAGTTTTTGTCTAATTTCCATTCGGATTAACCTCCTTTTAACAGCGCTGGAGTTTATCACACGGAGAAATCCCATTGATAAATTGCTTCCGCTTTTGCGGGTCTTTTTCTCTTTAAAGTACATTTCTTCATGGGGCTCCTGTGTGATAAACTCCATTGATAGAAATGGAGACTGCAGTCAGGAAATCAGAAGATGGCTATGAAAGAACTAGAAAAGATCCTAAAATGCAAAGATATACAACTCAGCACAAAAGATAGGATCATACAAGCCATTGTATTTACTATTCCCATGGATGTATGTGAGAGCTGGACAGTTAAGAAAGAAGAGAGGAGGAAAATCCATGCCTTTGAGAAAATGTGTTTTTGGAGAAGAGTGCTGAGGATCCCATGGAGAGCCAAAAGGACAAACAAATGGGTCCTAGAGTGGATCAAGCCAGAGATATCCCTAGAAGTCAAGATGACCAAACTGAGGCTGTCGTACTTTGGACACATCATGAGATGGCATGAATCGCTGGAAAAGACAATAATGTTAGGAAAGGTGGAGGGAAGTAGAAAGAGAGGAAGAGCACATTGCTCCTCAGAGGGCTTTATGGTTTCCAGACCCTTCACCATTTTAGTTGCCCTCCTCTGGACACGCTCCACTTTTTCAACATCCTTTTTGAATTGTGGTGCCCAGAACTGGACACAGGATTATTCCAGGTGGAGCCTGACCCCAGACATTATACTTCTATTGATGCAGCCTAGAAGCAATGTCTCATCCATAGGGTCACCATGAGTCGGGATCGACTTGGGGGCAGTTAACAACAACAAACAAAATTCCAGGCAAAACATCTGTCTTCCGGAAAGTAGCCTACGCAACACCAACATTTCAGATAGCTGTGAATTCAAGTTCAGGACAAGTAACAATCCCAGTGTGGCACACCTATTTCCCCATTGACACTACCCGATAAAGACAAATACACTCGCCCACTCCGTTTTCGCGGACCTGAAGTCCGCGGTCTTGATTATTCACAGAGGGGCGAGCTCCATTAAATGTAATGGCGCATGTGCCCATGGTACATGCGTAGGGTCGTGAGCAGGAACGCGCGGCCATTCAGGCCAATGAGGCTTGATTATTAGTGAGTTTCCATTTTCGCGTGTGGGGGGGGGGTCCCGAACAGATCCTCTGCGAAAATGGAGGGACTGCTGTATATAACTCATATTATCTTTGAAGACCCATTTAACTTAGGGGTTCATGTGTCTGAGTAAAGACCAAAAGACCACACTATGGACACACATACACTATTTGTAGACCTGCTCCTGCATTGACTTACCTTGAACATCTGGATGGTTTAGCAGGTAGCAGAATCCCCAGCAAAGGGTGGTGGCCACGGTATCCATTCCTCCAAGCAAAAGGTCAACCGCCGTTTGAACCAAGTTGTCCTCATTGAATGTGGATGATGGGTCATTTTTGGTCTGAAATCAGAATGCGTTAAGAAGCAAGAGAAGTCAGTGTCGTTTTCATGCAACACGTTGACAATCGCAAAAATATTCACAGTGGATTTAAAATTATCCCAAGAGATAACTAACTACTTGGTGAGATGTTTAGAACCTTAATGATAGGGACAAAATTAGGTACTTGCTATCTAGTTCAATTACGGGAAGTTGGTCTTGTTTAATGTATCTCGATTTGCAATGAAAACAGGCCGATTCGGAATGGCCCTTCTTTTTTTATTATTATTATTAAAATACTTTTATTGCTATAAAAAGAACACATGACAATAAACAATACAAGACCTAATCCAACATCTACATACAAAAACCTATAGCAAAACATGAAATACATTAAAACATAACAAACAAAAACAGTAACAAAAACAAAAACAAAAACAAAAACAAAGAACAAAAAACAAAAGAAAAAAAGAAAAGAAGAAGAAAGAGAAGAAAAAAGAGAGAGAGAAAAAAGAAGAAAAATAAATAAATAAAAATAAACTTCCTAGAGTGGTATAAAGAGATATCTCCAAAATCAATTTCATGACTAATTATATCTATCTATAACTAAATGGCCCTTGAGAATAATTGAGATTAATTGTTTCTTATAAGCAATGTGGATTCAGTAAGTATTTGTAAACATTGTATTTGTATATTGTACTTGTGATATAATTTTGAAGATTTTTTTTTTTAAAAAAACTTTGTGTTGTTAACGTTTTCATCTTAATTTGAATTGTTTGGTTGGTTATTATGGCTTTCTTGTTTGGCTGTAACCTGTATTGCGTAGCCTCAAACTGATTTGAATTGTGGGCTTAAGATGAAAACTTTTTATCAAATGTAACTTTTTTTTTTTTAAAAAAAAGCAATTCTGGAGTGCATTGAAATGGTGAAAGTATTTATTCTGAAATGGACACAGACAGTTCCCGTTTATTTTCTGTTATATATGCTGCCATATGTATAAAGAAAGGCCTTGCCCCAAGTAAGTTTAATGGTTGAAATCCATGAGAAGTAGAAAGTCTCAGAAGTAGAAAGTCACAAGTAACGCAGTTACCTCTGACAAGTTACTTTTGAGAACCCATGGTAAGAAATAATAATAATAATAATAATAATAATAATAATAATAATAATAATAAAGTTTTATTTCTAAGCCGCCCCTCTGCTCAGCAATTGTACAGCATAATTTAAAAACAAGAGACAATGTAAAATTCCTATATCCCACACCCTAATCCTCCCACCCCTTAAAACTAAATTAAACTATAATAACAAAGTTAAAACGATTCTTAAAAACATAATAGAAACAAAAACAAAACAAAAACAAACAAAAACAAACAAACAAAAACAAAGAAAGGTGTTGTTGTTGTTGTTGTTGTTGTGTGCCTTCAAGTCATTTCTGACTTACGTTTCATGGGGTTTTCTTGGCAAGTTTCTTTAGAGTGGGTTTGCCATTGCTGGCCTTTGGAACCGAGAGAGTGTGACTTGCTCAAGGTCACCCAGTGGGTTTCCCTGGCAAAGGGGGGATTCGAACCCTGCTCTCCAGAATTAAAGTCCGACACTCAAACCTCTACACCATGTTGGCTCTATAATGAAGCTAAATTTGAAAAGTAACATAATTACCCAGAACAACATTGCATATGGTTTCGGTGTAATGTGTAATGTTTAGGACAGGAACCGGCAACCTACGGCCCGGGGGCCGGTTAAGGCCCCGGGCCC